CTGAAGAGAGAAGCGGGATTATGAAGGTTTATCTTGAGTTGGTCTCGTCGTCTTTCATCTCATACACAAATACACACAAGTCCAGAAAGCAGACGCACACGTTAAACGAGTAAGCCGATGGTCGAAGTATGGAAGACAGATGACAATATGGCCTGAATTTCCAGCATTAACTCCTTGAGGTCGTCAGTCATACCGATGCGTCATTACCGCGCCTATACGGCTTGACAGAATTAAGTTTTTATTTGACAAAATGTAAGTAGATGAAGTGGGTTAAAAATCGTCGTGCTTCGAAATTGACCGAAAATCCAGTTATTGTAATGGGCTCCGGTAGCGTTTATGAAGAAATCCATATCGACGATGGATACTGAAGATAATCTATGCAAATGAAAAAGCGAACTCTGAAGCGCCTTATGGAGAAATCTGAGTCATAAAGCAGGACTATTAAAGGATAACCGCGGACCTGAATATTACACGCCAAGCCTACGGCATCTTGATAAAGGATAAAGATGAGCCATTGCCCGGTTAATCTGATACTACATCACAATTTGTGTATGCAACGTTATGACACGTGCAGTTTGTTGTTATATACATTGGTTGAGCACAAACAACTTCTCGGATATGGCCCGTCCGAACTGGTCTGCTGTGATCCTTTCACTAATGTACGATGTATCTTCAAACAGTTTATTAGATATTAAAAACATTCTCGAAGCGTTTTAGGAATTCTGGAGACTGTGCGGAAAATAATAAAAGACCTGCCGAGTGACTTCGAAACCATATCATCAGACTACCCGTATCTAAGCAGTTTTGAGGCCGGTTGGCAGTGGCTTGGAGCGACACAGACATTTTTAGACAGCGTAGTTTTGTCCGCTTATTCTGTATTCGTGCATATACACATACACGCATGCACGTACACACAGACGCGTGCAGTTTCTCTCGTAGATTGTTCCTGGCAGAGGTGCAGTTGTAGTAACTTTTCCGTAGCGATGCCGTTCTTTCCCTTCATTTTTCGTTCTCTCGCGGCCTCGGTTCCCCTCGCCATCGCTGTTGGTACCGCCATTGCAAAGTGGCGCGCTATCTCCAACCTCAATGATAAGTCAAGCTGTAAACTTGGCTCATATTACTTTTATACGCTATTATAAAATGATAATAAATTCAATCTTACAGCTGCAGCCGAAGCCACTGCAGCGGAGAGGATTTCCTGCTTTTGCGCTGCGCCCGTCGCTATTCCCACCGAACCAGATTTAGTCCATGGTGCTGCTGTTGCTGCTGGTAGCAACGCCTGTCTGTGGTCACCATCATCGGCGACAGCCATTGGACCCAGCGGACATCATAAATGTGTAAACAAACCCTATTCCGCCGGGTATACTTCCCCTTCCGTTCATGTCCCATCCCATGTCCATAGGGGATTTGTCCCGACGGCTGTCCTAAAATCTCCACCTTTGTCCCTATAGCAGCGAGTGGAGGCCCTACCAAATCTTCGCCTCGGTGTCTCCTTTACCCCATACGCCTCCCATTTTTACCAGCTTTTAGAGCGCAGACGAAAACAGGCACTCTAGGTTTCTCTTGCCAGACCAGCTCAGCCACCTACAAACCTACTGCTCCTTTCATACTCGGCGTTGCTCTTGTCATTATCGCCCTAGCGGGGTCCCTGGCCGTCGTAGCTGCAGCACATTCACGCAACAACACCGCACAAGCACTCATAATTGGGATAGCAGCACCTTGAAGCTGCAGGCGAGATCTGAGAACTGGCGTTGCCAGAGCTGGTTAGCTAGATGGCTAAGTTACATTTGCCTGTCTCGCTATCCACTAAACATGAGGATGGACAGCCACTGCTTTTAAATTGGGCGAGTTTGTTTCTGGCCTGCAAGTGGAGGGTAGCGTTTTATTGTCGGTCGTTCATAGGCTCAGTGGAAGTGGCTCAGCGTCAGATGGGCACAGACCAGCACGGCAGATAGGCCAAGAGATAGAGAAATCGGCAAGCTAAAAGCGAGCTTTCGTGCTTTCAGACGCCTCTGAGGTTGCTCAAATGAGCCGTGACTAAAGCGTACAGCTTCTGTAGCTAACGGAAGCTATCCTACAAATCAACCTAGAATAGCAGGATAGTATTTGTGAAGTGGCGTTTGAGGTCCACTGAAACTGGCGCTTGCTTATCAAATGAAGCGACGGTGACAGGTAGAACATCAGTATCTCTATTTACCCTTTATCGCCCACGTCTTCGTCGTTTTCACAGACCTTCATTTCCTATCTTATTTCTTTTTTCAATTTTATCACGTCTCTCTGTTCTTTCTTTGCTCTTTTTTGCGTTGCTTTACTACCAGCGTCAAGTGGAGATAGCAGAAGCCTTCAGAAATACAGCAAAACCCAACCGCACGGGTTAATTAATCGAGGACCGTGCAGGATACGCGAACAGGACCCTTAATCAAAGTCAGAGTAAAATTTGATTTCATTGTTTGTTAATGATCACTAATCTATGTCTGCTCTTACTATGTAAGAAGCCATGTCTCTCTCAAGTCAAATCAACGAGCTCTACGATTACAGTGTCGTAACTGTTGGCGGTGGTAACGACGCCGGATGGCATGTATGTCCGTACCGTAGATAGGTGGTTAGATTGACCAAAACGATCACATCAAAAACATTCATTGACGTACACGCAATTCCGCATGGCGCGCAAACGTTCTCAGCCAACATCTGTATCAAATCTATAATCCTTTTTATGTGCTTTCCTTCTTGAGGAGATGCTGCGTCTGAGACAAAGGCTCTAATTAAAGGGATCGATATACCTAGGGATAGTACCTAGTGCAAACAAACAAAAGATGCAAACAATGTCATTATCAAATTGTGGAAAGAGACGTTTTTATCACTCAGATGTGCTGCATACGAAGGTCGTCAAGATTTAAGGGTGGCTGTACTCGTTATGACACGACAGGGCAATGTAATATTCATTGAAAACCATGTTCTTTCAGGCTTAGAAAATGTAAGGTAATGGTAACTGTTTGACTTCTTTCCTTTTATGGCACATCTTCTCCAAAGAGGGCAAATTATGCTGTGCCAATTTCGTACGTGTGGTTGAACCGACGACTATCGCATGTTGATTCTCGTGTACGGTGAGTATCAACGAATGCGCTTAAAAGATAGCAGGGTAGTAGGCTTAGAAGGAGTAGAATAGTGCCATAAGGTGCATTTGGAAAAGTTGCATCGTTCCAAGTCTCTACGCTGCGACGCATCACTCACAACAGACCGAGCACAAGCTAGGCCGGATGGCGGTAAATGGAGTGGACTGACAAGGGCGGTCAATATCGCCGTCCGTTTCTTCAAATACTTCGACGCCTTAAGCAGGCAAGCCAAGAAACGCTCACATAGGTCATAACAGGCCTCGGTTGCTTTCGTTGCACTGCCCGATCACCCTCGGGCAGCGCTTACCCTCTCTGGCTACAATCCTTGCTGCTACTGCTATTACTATTGCGAATGATTGTTTATTTACAAGATGTCCTCGAAACGACCGTAGTAGTTTTATATCGACTTTCCTCTTCCCGTGTGGTCTTACGGCAAGACCATAATGTTGCTTCGCCTCAACGAGGGTGCGCTGTATTGCTCGGGCTCTTAGACCCAACCGACTCTCGGCTTCGCGAGTTGCTGCTATACTGCCTGTGGCTCCATGGTAAAGGTGTCAGTTATTGCGAGGCCTTGCCGCCATTCCGGGAAAGAGATGACCCTTATTTCATCCTAAAGTGAGGAGCGGCTGTTGGATCATGCTCACTGTGTCTGGTCACAGGGGCGGCAGTGGCTATCACAAGCCCAGGCGTTGCCCTCTACTACTGCTAGGCTGTCCGTCGATTCTGTCATAGTATCCGAAAATACGTTTTACGTTTGGTACCGCCATTAGGCATTTCACCAGACGACTGACTACTAGCATAAAACGAAGGTTGTCCGAAGTCGTCAGTTGCCCATTCAGATAAAACATATTGCTGTATTTATTGGCGTTGTCATTATTACTGTTGGAGTTTGTTTGGGATTGCAACAAGCGAAAATCACTACTTCTGCAAGCGCTGTGGCAGTCACCGAAGGGGCGATTCAAACTGACTGTTACTGATTCTACCAATCCAACTGCTGACATCTACCTGCTTTCTACGTTTGCCTGGATACTGCTTGCTTGGTCATAGCGCTTGCATCCAACAATTCGCAACTCTCATGTTTACAACTAAAGAAAAGTTTTACTACGAGAAATCAGGACGATCCTGTCTAGCAGCAGCGAAAAACGCACGTCGGGTCTCGGTGTAAACGTTGTTGAAGAAACTCACGGCTACGGAGCCATCGACGACTGGAAGGCTCGTTGACTCTCCCTGGAAGCAGTAGCAACTGCGAGCACGCTTCATCTTTCATTCTATCTTTTCTCATCAGTTCTTCCAATACACTCAAACACCGATTCCAGCCCGAAGTGAATCAACAAAGCTTAGCTCTGTCTCGGATCAAGTGAGGAACGGGGTTACAGAGACAAGTCAAGGCAAAGCAGGGCGTAGCGAAGTAGCGAGGTTCGTATAGAGGACCACTCCGTGAGGTTTGGTCGTGAGAGAGAGGAAGGAGCGAGGGAGAAAAAGGAAGAAAGAAAAAGAGAGTAGGCATATTATTGGAGAGAGCCGTTGCCACAGTTAACAGGATCAACGCTCAACACCCACATTGGCTGGCGACCACAGGCACTGCTGCCATCGACATCGTACTAGCAGCACGCATGGCTCGTTTTTTCTATCGTTTAATTTCCTCTTGCTGTAGAGCTTACCGATCAGGGCTGGGCTGAGTGGGACACTTTGTTTGGGCTTCTCCTTCTCTTCCTGAGATGTGTACATCTATCTTTTTGCTTTTTTCTCTTTCTTTGCCTAGATACTTCCTGAAGTTAGCAAGCGAGCTGATCAGGATAGCGGGTGTGGATAATGATTATTACATGACGTTGGGTTTTATTTCGTGGGAGAACCCTGTTTCTGTGGGAAAGTAAGCTTTCTACTTACGTGACGTTTGGAGTTGGGTTTCCTGAGAAGACGCAAGGCACGTTGATTGGACGCGAGCTAGAGCCCCGAGACACTTCCTTGGGAACCAGCTCCACTCGGGGTGGTACTTCGTTTTGCAAATCTGTCGAGTGATTGAGAAAAAAACGCAGAGAACATGATAAGTTGTTGATGAAAGAAGCAAAGTCGTTAATTTTTCGCTTAGTTCAAACAGATAACTCAAAGAAATAGTCGACAATACGGTACCGCTGATAGATTTATTAATTTCAAGTTAATTGATTTAAATATACAATAGTCATGTTGTATTTATGTTCAGGTAACCGCGTACTGTATATATTAGATTAGGTATCTTTTGACGATCGATTTTGCTAGAGGACGTCACTACGAGAAACTACTTCCTCACTTCCTCAGAAAGAAGCCTCACTTCGCAAAAGTTATCCGACAGCACCTTAGTATTGAATGGTTCCTCTACTGTATAATCTGTGGCAAAGCCTAACGTGTATCGGAACGTCGACACGCCATCGCATACAATGTCAGTTATCAACCCTCTTGTAAGATTTCCATACATTTCCTACGACTCTCATCTAGACGAAGAAATTTTCAAAGGATTAAAGAAATTTCAATGCAGAAGCTATCGCTGAATATAATTACTAACATTACCATATATGAATATAGATACTAACGATTCAATTGCCTTTTGATGTTTCTATCTTGCCTTTATGAAACCCATTGTAAAATAAAAATTCATCATTTTCACCAGGAGTTTTGTTTAAAGCCTACGACCTTAAAGGAAGAAGGAGCAGAAGCACACGATATTAAATCGCTATCATTTTACATGAAAGCATAATAATTGAGTTGCTTGAAGTGTTCAGTTCTCTTCGTAGCAGGCCCAATTACCCAACTGCGCAAAGTGCTTCAAACATGTTTCAAGTAAAACAAACAAACAAACGAACTTCGGAGAGACGCCTTGAAAAACATAGCGACCAATCCATGTTTCGTCGTGCACGATACATGATTCTTAGCACGTTGGCTCATGCATATCGTAAATTCAAGCAAAAAAACGGACATCCTATTCGGCCATGTAGGGAGCCATCTTGCGATGTGCCCTATTTTATGAAATGATTGATGTTCCATGCTGCTATATCGCCATCGATCGCAACTCTACAGCGTCAAATATGAAGTTTCATATACCATCTTGCTTCTCTCGCAGTGCATCTTGTCCCTATTCCCGGTGGAAATAGGCCTATAGAGACTTTTTGCAGGTGAATATCTCTTGTAATTATAACGTATCGTAATACAAACTTATCGATGCTTGCCGATTGAATAAAACTGAAATAATTATATTTATGTCGAGTCCTCGGGTTCTGATGACCGAATCAAGACTACAGCAAACCTGCAATAAAAGCATAGCCAAAAACGATGCCATATATTCAGGTATACCGAAAAGCACAGCATTTATTTCAAACACATGAAATTTGCAAACAAAAAAAAACACATTTCGTGGAATGGTCTTCGATCTATCTTTTAAAAATTGTCGGGTTTTTCGGTGAATAACCAATACAAATAGACCTTTACTGACTAATAGTAGGGTAACGACGTATCTCGTTCTAGGGTTCACATAGCATATTTATTTATTACTAAACTTTACTGGCAAATCCTTATTCTCAAACAATATTATGAGTAGCCATTTTCGGAGCTGCTTGCACTGCATAAATGCAGAAACAGAAGAAATACTATCGTATCACCACTGGATTCTGCTGTAAACTAACTTGAGGTAACTCAAACGTTGAAAAACATTAGGAAGAACTATATTACATTTCACAATGACATGGCCCCCTTGGATGATTTATATTTGTTCAACTTTTTCCTAATTGCTTCTACTTCATAAAGATATGTCGATTGTTGAACCGGAAAAGGGCTGAGTGACACAGTCACCTCGACAGATAACACGTATCTCAGAGGTAGGGGGTGGCGACCATGAATATAAGTACACAAACACTGGATAATAATCTACAAAATCTCCCTTACGATCTCCAGCCACAGCGACTGACCGCAGCGACCGACCAATGCAGGGCCTTACTGCCTTCGTGGCTTGCCTTCAATTTACTACTGCTTGGTTCGCTGCCTGGCTGAGTTGTCGCCTTTTGAGTCACTTACGGGACGTCAAAGTGCTACATAATTGCCTACGGCATCATATCATATTTGTAGCTCATACATGTTACGGGCGGATCCTCCATAAAGCAAGTAGCCAGGGTCATGGTCAGTGACCACCCTAACCTTGAGCACTAGCAATTTCACGCTTATCATTTCTAAAGGGTAGCGATTCACATACATCCTCGAGGATACGAATATACGAGGGTAGCTTTAAGGCATTCTACAACAGCGGCGAGAGGCTCAAATCCGTATCAACAGAGGCCCTAGTCCGTGGCGTCGTAAGTGTCCCGAATTTGTCGAGTCAGCCGTTTTACTAATTTGCAGGAAACGACTGTGGCATCGTGGTCGTGTGGTGATGGCAGTGCCAATGCCGCCGAAGAACCGGTGGAGGCCTGTTGCCTGCTGCGGGAAAGGTAGCGCCGAGAATGGGAACTGATTCCCGCTGCCGCTGAAACCCCTGGAATCGCTAGTTTTCGAGGATGTACTGCTAGTGCCATTGGAAGAATTCTCTGATGGCGTGGGCGCTACGCTGATCCTGGCTAGCTGGCTAGTTGGCGCTGGCGATGATTGTGGCTGTGCTGGCGGAAATTTGAAGGGTCGACCCACTGCTACTCGCCGGTCCCTTCTCGTCACGTCATCACTTTGCGACCTTTTGTTGACTTCAACTAATTTCCTAGAGCTGGCCTCCGCCCACCGTCGTGCCATATCCGCTGCGGTTCGTCGCAGTCATCACTACCAACGTTATTGTTGTCACGGTCAACCCGATTGCTTAGAGTTTTTGGGCTGCTTACTGCCACCGGCCTCGTCTCCTACGTCCTTCCAGCCTCCTTCGACAGCATCAATGTTTTTTGTCGAGAGAACCGGAATTGTTTTCGACGTATTGTCACCAGTACCGCCAACATTCGGCCGACTTTATGGTCTATCCGTGGTAGTAACTAATTCACCGACACGTGTACACGCGGCCGCATTTAATGTTTATTTTTTAACACGGTTAGACATTAGTTAAACCTTGAGCAGAATATCGGCAGTGGGATGCTTCACAATAAAGTAAGACGATAGAATGGCTACGTAAACTAAAAAAGGAAGTTGGCACCCAGTTGAAGTGAGCGCATAGACTGCGTCTCTTTGGTAAGGAGAAAGGAAGTTGAGAGTGCTAGAACGTCTCTCTACGTAAGAGCATGGGTCAGCAAAACGCCTCTGCGCGGTTCTTTTAGCAGGCAAAGGCGCTCAAAAGAAGACGCCCCGCCGCAGAGAAATTGGTCACCCCAGCACTCATTATCGTGCAAGTGATTCAGGCAGTTTCAGGCAGTAACAATGTTGGGAGCATGGTGAAAGCGGCAGTGGGCGATGGTAGTGGAGTTAGGCTCGGTTTGTCGAACGGGCTTGGCGGTCGAAAAAGCGCCGTTGGGCTTCGACTGGTAGAAAGAGCAGACGAAAGGAGTCTACCATACGAAGCGAGAACCGAATGAACTCAGCCGCTGTGTCGTTTTGCCGCTTGCTTGGTCGGTCGGTCGGTCGGTCGGTCGCAGGGTCAAGAATGCGGAATGCATCTTGCAGGCTACAATGTGACACGAGGAATCCGAGTGGAGTCGTGCGCCACTCTGACCAAATACACTGGCGTCGTACATCCGTCTGCTCGCCCGCCAGTCAGTGCCCAGTTCGCTAGCAGCCCTAAAGCCGACGCGGGTAGCTCCACCGCTCCCGCGTACATGAAGGATGCCTGTCTTCAGCCTGTATCGGCCAGCACCTAACCGGGCTAGTGAGTTGACCGGTTGGGCGGCTGGCTGCGGGTCTGTTGGCGTTCAGAGCGTCCAGAACGCTGTGCACTGGAATTTGTATCGTTTTGCGATTAAGATCGAGAGAAGAAATGCTACGAAAGCTCTTGCGAACGCGGCCGCTGCTGCCAGCAATAGCTGCGACGACGCAATGCGTCCGTTATCTCTAGCTATTTGGGAACGATCGGACAGAGCGGGAGTCAAAGCCGAGGCGAGCAAAGCTGCGCTTACCAAATACAATTCAGTTTCTCACTGCTTGTGCTGATGCTGCTTCAGCTCTCGGATACTCGCACAGCCAGCTTCTCAGTGATGGAAAGGAGCATTTTAGCCATCTGTGATGAACACATGGGCGTTGTGTGGAGCCATCGCTCGATCAGTCGTCCGTGACCCACTTCGATGAAGAGAGTGGAAAAAAGATAGAATCGATCCTCGAAGAACTCGTGCTCGTGTCTTCATTTGTGAAACTTTCCGATATGAGGTCAGTTGCTGCAAATGATTCAGCAACGACTCGAGCCATTGAGAATGGGCCGAAAAGAATAGTACGAAGCATAGCATCGTCGCGTGTGGAATGAACCGTGAAAATACGAAAAGCAGGAAAAGACGTAGGGAATGAAAGGGCATTACAAAAAAGCGAAACAAAGGCTTAATGTCTAGGGCCGTCGATGATTTACCAGTTGATAGCCACTTGGATTGTTCTTTACCCTACGCGCATAGTAGTACATAAATAGCACAAATAGGTTGTATAGTTTCATTTTCAGCTAACAGAGTCGGTTCAGGCAAAGATAATTTCTCATATCTGCACGTTGTGATCATAGGCTACATATTTCAATAGACAAATCCTTAGCAAAAATACCCTTAGCTGCGCACATGGACCAAGACGCTAGGCTAATCCGTCACTAACTTGAACGTTCACGAGGAGATATTGCAGCAGACGAATATGTACACAAAAAACTTTCGTCTACGTTGCAGTCTTTGTCCTGCAACGTCTTTAGGAAATACAACAATGTATAGTACATAGTTCAACTCTTCTTGACAAAGCCAGCTTACCAACTAGGGCTGTTGGCACGAGACGGGGAAATGTAGAAGCAAGCAACGAGATAGAGATGCTGAGACGATTTCTTCTCAATCTGAGGAAGCTTCAGCAGATCCCAGCACCAGCACAACGGCAGGTAGCAGCTGTGGGGATGTGGGTTGCCCTTGTACCTGGTGCGCTTCTGCCGTTAGCTACCGCTGCCCCCCCCCCCCCTCTTCTCGATTTGATTCCGTTGAAGCGCCAAAAAAAATTGATGAGCGGAAGGCGCATAGTGGACTAGTAAAAATGCCGGATTGCTCACGGGCAGCATTCCGCTAGGAGGTTATATTTTATGTGTATCATTGGCTCTGTTGAAGACCCAAAGCCGCGAGCCCGGGCCGGTCGGGTTGGCCTTGTTCGCCCGGCCAAGGCGACTTCGCTTCTTCTCGTTTTCTGCAACTGCTAAGGCGTGCTTAGTATCGATAGCCGATAAAAGCATTAACGGAAGGCCGAGCGGTTGGAAGGCCAGACAGGGCACTGTACGAACGTTCGCAAAGTGCCCCAATGCCGGAGGCAGTGGCCTACTGTACTTCCTGTGCCAATGGGCTTCGTTTAGCCTCCTAAGCACAGTTGACTGGTGGTCGTCGTATAAAGCAGTTGAGAAGAGCGGCCGTGTATGAGCTGAGGTTCAAACACACTCACGGAAGCAGAAGAAAATGGGGTCTCTGCACAATGTGTTGTCGTCATTATACAGTACAGTCTTGGCAGACTAGGACAGGCACAGATAGAGCAATTGGTCTCTGCTAAGAAGCAGCAGCGGACATGAGCTTGCTGCGCTATGGGCAGCTTCGGCTACAGCTTCGCCTAACGCCAACCTTACCTGAGCTTTAAATTGGTTTCGGTATGCCATACCCGACCCAGATCGGACTAGGCCTTTTTGACAGGCAGGTTAACGACCGACTCCCCCCGTCTGGTTAATTCCCCAAAAGCTCATTGACTACAGGGCAAAGCAGAGAGATCAGTAACAAACAAATGAGCGAAAGTGAACGGATGACTCGAAATAAAGGGTCCGCAGCAACCAAATGGGAAGAAGGGCTTGAGACTAAGTCTCGAGTTCGATGAGAGCCATCAGTCGTGGCAGCAGCACAAATAGTAGAAGCTGCAGTGGCCGCCTCAGGAAGGACAACGGCAAATGGACGAAATTCGAATTAAAAACAACAGCAATTGTGAGCCCGTGTTGTCCATGTCACAGGTTAACCACAATCGGGTACAGAACAGATAGCATCTAGAGAGGCAAGTGCGTTGCGGTGCAGAAGAACAGGATTAGCAGTCAGAGACAACAACAAGCGTCTTGCCTTGAGTTATCCATACTACTCGCACTTGCCCCTTTAAGGAAAGCCTTGCGATCTTGCTCGAAGGATATTACCTTCATGCATTTGGATCTTAGCAAAGCACAGAGCAAAGATGTAGCTGAGAAGCGAAGAAAACACCCTAGAGTGACACGTGTGGGTGGGCATATAATAGTTTATGCTCGATTTGGCACGCCTGTCAAGTCGACCGCTGTTCTGTCAGCCCTGTACGCTGCAACAGTCTCTGTTGGGGCATTTTTCTCTTTCTGCCCGAGGCTTTAGCTCGTCTCCACCATGCGCAATCGATTCTCGCTGCTTGCTATTGACGCTGATACGGTTACACAGCGGCGCAAGCCATGTTCGTAACTGATGAAAGATAACCTGTTGGGCAGAGAGGCTGCGCTAAAAAGCGTTGAGCCATTGAAATGCCACAGTTCCCCGATTTATACGAAATGCTGCCGTATAAGATGCATATGAAGTTTGCTGCAAATAGACGTCATGATGATAACCAATACAGTTGTTCTAAAGAATTAGGCATCGGTAACAGCACGAATCAAAAGCGTGTACATATAATTTTACCACAAATAAGTGTTATTAGCAAAACTATCACGTAGTATAATCTCGTTTGCTTTCTTTGTATGTTGTCATGGCCAAATGGAAGGCGCATTTAAAATATTTGATACGCAAAAAAATGATCGAAACGAGTAGGTCTTAGGGCAATCATAAATTCCATTAGCAAGATATTTGCGATAATTGTGCACACAGGACTTGGTCTCTTTCAACAACTGTGGCTCAGTTCCACAAGCCCTATTGGCCTACTATAACGTATGTAACTTCACAGACAGTTATCAAGGTACCCCCAGCGCTAGACTATGACACCGAGTAACGCACTCTTGGAATACACTTAGCCAAGTATCTTTGAACGACCATCCGGGCAGACCTATCGGAAACGATAATCCGTCGAATAGTTAATAGTGAGCGGTGAAATCGAATCAGAATAGAGGTTAAAATGGCGGAGAACGGAATAAATCGGAGAGACTTAACGAGCGCTTAGAAAAATTAGTGTCACGACAGCGATAATAGTAGAAAAACAAAAATCATCTTTCAGCAGAAAAACAGCATCTCTTTACCGAAGCTTGACATGAAGCCGACAAAAGGCTTCGTGAAGGAAAACCGCGAGCAGAGATCTACAATTAGCACCGGTCGACTGAATCGTATCGTGCTGTATTCAGAGGCTGGGGAGAGAACGGAACGTCGCATTCGGTTTGAACTGTTCCTGTTAACGTAATCGTCGCCGATACCATCGATTTTGCTTGCAATGACTTCCTCGGAATTCCGCTAATGGACTAGAGAACATCAACAAAGACCTTAACTTAGACTGCATAAGCTGGGCCAAAAAGACAGAGCTTCCGGTCATCGGCAAATTAAATATAATCATCGGCAGACAAATCCGAAGACGAAGAACTTCCGAGTGGTTTCTTCTTTTGCGATGCAGTGCTTCCATGTTATAGATATATAGAATATGATCGAATTTTTTTATTTAATTAATTTTTTTTAATATCATCAAAATTTTATAACAAGTCTTGCATTGTATAATTAGGTTTCACCGAAAACGAACAATTTTTGTAACGCACTCGGCTATAGTTAATCATAAAGAAATTTTTTTTTTCGTTTTATTGATATATGCGCATACATATATGCGACACGAAATAAACACATTCTACGGATTACCGTAAATGTTTATTATATTTGTATATAATATATATATATATATATATATATAGGAAAGCAAATGTTTATTGTTTATATAAGTTATGTTAGATCCACTCACAAAGCCACAAATCGCCTTTAATTAGTTGATGATAAGTATCCGTTTCAATGTATTCTGTATCATTTTTACACTTACCAACTATATAAGCAGTGGCGGGCTTTGCGCTAACGAGGATCCTATTTGTGATTGTATCCTGAACGCGGCACCGGTATGTGCGTTCCTTGTCAGCCATGTTCGTTTTGTGAATTAGTAGCTCGCCAGTTGTCAACACCTGATATCGATCGTCTGGAAGGTCGCCCAGCCGCAAGAACAACAAATATAACACCAAGTTTTCTTAGATATATATATATAGCTGATTACATTGAAACCTTATTGACCTTTATTTCTAATTAGGTGGCTTAGAAAGTAATACCTCTTATTTAACGTAAGTCACACTAAGTCAACGCTTCTTGAAAGATCAAAATTTTACAGTAGCAGATGTGTAGCTAAACTTATTCGTATGCCTTCATTCAGACCTAAGGTAGAACCATTTGAGCATGAATGAAATTTCTACAAGTTCCATATTCATATCGGGGAAACTCTATATAATAGCTACAGACTCGAGACATTTATGGCGAGTTGTTGATCAGGAGCGGGTCAATGGTGTGCAGATAAAAGGTGTGCTTTACAATCTGTAATAAGGTACACACCGATACCAAAAAAAAGATGATACTATACAATTATAAAGGCTTTATGGCTTATCGGATTATAAAGCAATCGTGCATAATGAATTGCTGCTGTCTGCTAACGGCAGTCTTTCAAACTTCTATTGTCAACAATTGACAAATCACGACGGGCCATTGAAGAAAATCAACCGCAAATCGCGAGCAGAAAAGGCGTTGTCTTTCATTATAAAAACGCGAGACTATACAAATGTTGAACTAGACTGAGAGAACTTAGGTGGACAATTTGATGTGAAGTAAAATGCGGGTCCCACACTTTCGGACCGTCGTTTGTTTTGGGGTCTGCAATATCTCTTTGTTATTAATATTCATTTAACTTAATTAAAATTACATGATACATTTCTTTCCCAAAAACCACAGAATTATGTATAGCGATTATGCTGTTACTTGAAAAATATGAGAAGGTCAGCGACCAATATAGCATATTTAGTTTAGCAATATATAGATGCCACCATGTTTACCATTAGAGAACATCCAGGTTGTATGGTCTAAGTAGTATCGCTTACTGTCACCATTACTTTTCATCGCTTGTTCATTATAGAAGTTGCCAGCATGGGCTCGTCGCTCAACCTATTTTCATCCACATATCGTCATTTAGAGGAAACCCAGCCGCTCACTAGTTCTGCCCACAGGCACACTCTAAAGCATGGCGACGTCAAGGCCTGACCGACCCGCTTAGAAACGACAGATTAATTTCAAAATTAGCAGTTGTTAATTATCCACTATACGGTGAGTCGTCCGCGTATAGTTACATTCACGTTTTGTCAATATATATATATACGCTGAGTATATATGTGACATATAAATCTGGTCACCGTGCGTATGTCTTTGGGCGAGAACGCGTTAAATATGTGCATGCTGACGTTGCGGCTAGCTTCTCCCTCGTTCCAAACCGGGGTCTCGCACCTCGACAAGCATCGGTATCAATTATACAGTGTGCCAGAGCTTCGCTGCTTACCTGAAAGGCATAGCGGTATAAAGCGAACGCTTTAAAGATGGGTGAAGTGCATCCGTCCATGTTGTCTCTTTATTTGCCATTCGCGTCACCTGTTCAGGGCTTTGTTGGTGGTGCATTCAACGGCAACAGATGCCCTGTTCGTGTGGCCGAGCACACAGAATGACTCGGGGGCAAATGGAGGGTGACGGAATGTGCAGGTGTCATCTAATTCTGTGCAGTCACGTAATCGCTACCAACGTTAAGCGTAGCCATTACCTTTTTGAAGATGGCGTATTTCTTGTCGCAACATGGCAACAGTGCTTGGCACACGCAAAATTCAGTGCTGCTCTTGTGTTTCCTTCTTACCCAATGATAGAACGAAGCGGCCAAATAGACGTATGCATTTGAACGTTCCCTATTTCCCATTATAAAGCGAACTTTACTATGCCTAACGGTGTGCGCCTGAATGCTCTTGACGTTCCTTCGCATCCTGCAAATATCCTGCTGTCTAGTTCCTGTGAAGAGTTTTTGCGTTGTCCGACTCGACAGCGTCATTCGTCCCCTTGGGGCGAAATTCCGATGGGCTCGGAAAGTCATCAAGCCATTTTCTCAAGTAGCTCTTAGCCACGACTTCTACACACCTTTCGGCAATACTTACACCGTTGTTTCCAACACTCCGTTTGCCACTCCACAGTCTATAGCTGCCGCTACTTTCACGGACTCACACATATAGAGTATAACTATCATCGCCTCTGTTCAGCCAAAAGACACCAACCGCAAGAGAGCAGTCAGGAGTTCTTTTGCTTTCATCCGGTTCGTCTCTGGCCCGTTGCCAAAATCCACAATTGTACCTCATAGCCATCTGGCTCCAGTCTCGGTTCAATTCGACCAATCAACGCCTCCCGACCAGCCACCCGCCCGGTTTCATTCTCAGGCTGGTTGTCCCGGCTGAACTCACTGGTAAGAAACGCACTGGCAGTAGGGATCAGCTCAACGTAGTTCTTTACTGCAATGCTGTGGACCGAAAAGCTCTTAAGGGTTAGCTGCCGAAGGCCCGACGCCCAGAAGAACATTTCAAATCCTGCCACATCGCTTAGAAGAGATAGAGGCAAGGCAGTTGAGAGGCGGAGCGCATAGGCGGGTGTAGAATGTGAGTAGCGGGAGGCAGAAAGCTGTAGGATATTCCGAAGGGTTTCTCTTTACAGGAAAGAAGCTAGGAACGATAAAGACAAGGTTAAGAGAAAGTCCAAGAACAGTGTGAACGGACCTCGAAAAAACGGAAAACGTCGATCCTACACAGAGGGGAAGCTGGTGTGAAGGCGGAGAAGGAGCAGGCTTCCCTTGATAGGTAGCCAGCATTGCCAGCGTACTGGGCCTAGCAGTGGTAAAGGTGCCAGAACCAGTGGAGCCAGTAGCAATGGCAATGGTCCCTGCAGGAGAGAAGTAGGAAGACGGTGCTCACACTTTAGATGGGGCTTCAGATATAACTCCCATGTTAGCGATTCGGGCAAACTTGCGACCGTCACGGCAGTTTTCCGCTTTCGCATCCCAAACTTCGAACTGTTTTGTACAGTGTCGGAACTGTAAAGTTTTTTTCTGGACTATAGAAGAGTCGATCCGGTTCACACATATACAGATAGTGCGCCGCATATATACGTGGCCTGCTATCATATATTATAGCTAGGCAACATGTAGTAGATTTACATATTATATAAAGGTTACATACAATTGTATATGAGTTGTTTAAGTGTCGATGCTAAGACGAAATTAATCCCATTTTTAAATGACAAATGAGGCTCTTATTCAGCCCTAAAATTCGATAGAATAAATGTGGCACATCGGCTAATCAAAAATTAAGACAGGTTTATCCTGACAAACTTTTACTCTGTCTAATCTGTAGATAATAATACGAAACTGAATTGGGCTGCAGCATGAGGTCTTTGAAGCCGTATACCCATACAGCTCACTACGTTACTTTCACCTTCTTTGGCGCTGCAAATTCTTGAACTTTAATCTGCGTTATCACCACTTATTCTCTTTGCTGCAATTAGACTGGCTATGATATAGCTAAGGTATTGCCGGCCTACCATATCACCAGGCAATGGGGGAGTGATGAAAACATTTTAACACCCATACGTGTCCCAAAACGTTTTTCACAAAAGAGATCATCACACTACGTTACCCCATATGCCCACTACTCATGTCTTATATTGCCTAGCGACAGGACAGCCTTTCGCTCACGTCATTCCTTCATTCAACCGGTTACCGAAGTCAACTCGACGGACTTCAAGGAGCAGCAGGAATTTCTTCTTAACATCGGTGTCACGATTAGGCCTGTAGTTTTGCCCGTTGCTGCCTCCGAGGTCTCGTTCACCTCGTTTCTTCAGTTTTCGGGGGTTCAACATTGGTAATCCCACACCGAACTTGCGTCGAAGTAGTTTATAGAGTGAATATGTAGAGGCGGGATGATATTACGGGAGAGGGATCCGCTGTGTGAGGTATGCGGCGTGTCTCCTAGCCCGTGTGTTTGGCTCACTAGAGGAAAGGATGATAGCATCAAGCATACTACAGTAATTGGAGAGGCTGTTATTCGAATTAGAACGTCACGGCAGGTTCTGTCGAAGTCTCAAGTTTTAAAGGTCTGGTCGTTTCCTGTCCGCTTGGAACTACTGTGAATTCGTCGTACTCGTTGTCCTCGTCGGCGAAGTCGTCGAAAAGCACCACCACTACCAACGCGTTAATTACCAGTTGCTGTTCGTCCGCGCCCAGGCAGTCGATGGAATCGAGAGGATCTGTGTTAGATATGTGCCTGGTAGAGCTAGAGCAGGCGTTTAGCGGCGGCGGTCCGATAGAAGAACTGCACCTTTCAAACTGCGTGAAGATCGACAAGATCTTCAAGGTAAAGCACGGTTTAGCCTGCGGTAGCAAAGCAGCGGGCCGGTAGATAATCAAGTCAGCGTTCTTTCAAGATTGCAGTAAATTCGATGACGACTGAATGATTATCAGCAAGCGGCTATGAATAATACACGTTTCTTTGCTACGCCTTGGGCTTTGTGACGTGAGATAGACTGAAACCAGTAGCTGGGAAAGGCTGGCGTCCGCTTTCCTTAGCGGAAACACGCCCACTCCGTCGCCGTCTAGTCATTCGCCGTCTTTGTCGGCCGATGCCTTTCCGTAGCCCCTGAGGGTGTTCGGCGCAATGGGTGGGATTCTGGAAAGAAATCCTGAAAAAGACGACCCAGCTCAATTCCTTTTCAACTTGCATTCGAAAGCTCGTGCTGCGCTTTGACTACGGCAACTTTAAGAGAAGCTTCTGGCTTTTGGGAACTCTAGGAGAAGCTTTTGGTTTTCAGGAATTCTAGTGAAGCTTCTGGTTTTTGGCCCTTAAGTTTGGGGCAAAACTGACTGCGCGTGAACGTACTACGGACCAACGAAGCAAATGTCGCTCCCATATTGGTGCAAGCCTGCCTGCTCAGGTTTGCTCCAAAGGCAGTCTTAAGGATGGTCCGACCGGGTCACTGGCAATTATGCCTTATTGGGGTCGATTCATGACAGAAAAGACTTTTAAGAAATTATTAAGAGTATAGGAAGAAAAGAAAAGTAGCGAACTTGAGCTTGACTTAGCG